CGGCCTTTGCCTCAGTTTGCTCTGAGCCTGACCTGCTTGGCAGCGAGGAGGAGTGGAGGTGTCCTGGGCCTCCGGGCTGCCACCGAGAGGTGGGGGCGTCGGTCTCCAGGCTCCCTGAGATCCTGAGAAAGCCGGGCCCGCGTGAGGAAACAGCCGGCCGGGCAGCCAGCGCCCCTCCTGCAGCCCCTGCCTCGCAGCTCGGGGCCCGCGGCGGAGGGTGGAGGGTGGAGGGTGGAGGCGGGTGACGTGCGATGGACCCGACTGCTGAAGCGACTGACGTGGAGGCTGGGGGCGGTTGCTGAGGCTGCTGTGCTTTCTTACAGCTTCCTGGACTCCTGCTCCCCCGGCGATGGCCGCGAGAGGAACGGGGTCCGGAATTCTTGTCTTCGGGTGTCCTCGAGGCCTCCCGGGCTTTGGCAGGGCACCGCTTCCCGGGCTGTGCTCGTCTAATCAGCTTTACTTCTTCCTCGCCTGTGTCCAGCCCCCAGAATAGGTTTGGGGCTTTTTTGAGTCAGTCTCACTCTGCCGCCCAGGCTGGAGTGCAGCGGCATGCTCACGGCCATCGCAGCCTCGCCCTGCTGGGCTCAGGCGCTGCTTCTGCCTCCGCCTTCCAAGTGGCCGGAGCCTGGCTAGTTTTTCGGTTTCTTGTAGAGACGAGGTCTCGCCAAGTTGCCCAGGCTGGTCTCGAATCCCAGGACTCAGGCAATCCTCTCTCCTCTGCCTCCCAAAGGGCTGGGATTACAGGCATGAGCCACCGTGCCCGGCTCAGAATAGGTTTTAAAAATGTTTCAGGCTTTGCTTGGCTGTTCCTTATTTCCCTCCTAGGTTTTATGAAAGTCACGGGAGAAATAAAAGGCTTGAGGGCAGTTTAAGATACAGTGAAGATTTGCAAAACAAGTGCTAAGAAAAGCAAATATAAAATATTTAGATGGGATGGGGTAGCAGATTTATTTTTTTGGTTTTTTATTTTTATTTATTTATTTATTTTATTATTTTATTTTTCTTGAGTTGGAGTCTCACTCTGTCGCCCAGACTGGAGTGCAGTGGCTGCTCCCGGCCACTGCAGCCTCAACCTGCTGGGCTCCGGCCATCCTTCCGCCTCAGCCTTCCGAGTAGCCCTAATACAGGCACACGCTACCACGCCCGGCTAATTTTTTGATTTATTGTAGAGATGAGGTCTCGCCAAGTTGCCCAGGCGGGTCTCAAACCCGCGGGCTCAGGCAATCCACTCACCTCAGCCTCCCAAGGTGCGGGATTACAGGCTGAGCCACCGAGCCCGGCTTAAAAATTTTTTTAAAGAGAGAGAATCTATATTCAGTCCCAGATTTCTCTCAAAAAAGATATTTTAGAAATTGTGAGGTCATGTTTTCTGTGAAGCTTAGTGGTGAGCTTGGGGGAGATATATGTGGAAGAGGGAGAGAAGAATCTCCAGGAATTATTTCCTAGAGGAAACCTTCCCTGACTCCTGGACTCGGCCTGGTACCCCTATTTATATCAATGGCTCTCATAGCATGGTATTTCTTTCCTTCAATGAGAGTTTATAATTACTCAGTTACTTCTGTGATTTCTTGATCAATGCCTGTTTCCTCCCAGAGTCCTTGAGCTCCACGAACGCAGGGAATAAGTCTGTTTCACTCAGCATCATTCCCCTAGCACCAAGCATGTCGTGGGCACTCGGGTCGTGTCTGGGCAACGGAATGGACGTAAACCTGAGTGGCACTCTGTTTCTCCAGGACTAACACCCCACACGTGTCTTTTATGCTGTCACTGTTTGTTCCCTTGATAGTGAGACCTCCTGGGAGGAGGAGGAAGTGGGAGGCATTGGGTGGTGTGAGCCAACCGGTAACTCAGGGCATGACCTGGAAGTTTCCAGAATGCAAATCGCTTGCATTCTCCAGCACCAAGTAGCTGCCTGCAGTGTCTGAGCGTTCTCAGCACAGCTTTTCTCCCCATGTCCGCTGCCTACTGGCCATCTTCGCCAGCATCCTGTTACCACCTCAGCAACACACACCCCAAACAGAAGGCATCACCCTCCTCCCAGGTAGGCATCTCTCCCCCACCACTGTTTCACCAATCTCCTAGGTTAGAAATTGTGAGGTCATGTTTTAGTCATCTGTATGACCAAAGTCCTGTCCTTTCTTTTAAAGGTGGCATGGTCATCAGAATGTGACTGAATTCTTTCTCTGGGCCTGGCACACAGTGGCTCATGCCTGTAATCCCCGCATTTTGGGAGGCCGAGGAAGGAAGATCACCTGAGGTCGAGACCAGTCTGGGCAGCATAGTGAAACCTTGCCTCTACAAAAAAATTAAAAATCTAGCCAGGCGTGTTGGTGCATGCCTGTAGTCTCAGCTACTTGGGAGGCTGAGACAGTAGGATCACCTGAGCCCAGGAGGTTGAGGCCATGGTGACCTGTTATTGTGCCACTGTTACTCCAGCCTGGGCAACTGAGTGTGACCCTGCCTCAAAAAAACAAAAAAACAAAGACAAAAAAACTATCTCTGCCACAGGTAGCCTTGGATAAGATGTTATCAAACAGCACATGGCCTCAGCTTTCTTACCTGCAAAATGGAGATATATCCACTTCAGAAGGATGTTTGTAAGGATTGAATGAAATCATATATATACAGTGTTGAGCAAACATCAGTAACTATTACCAAAAAGTGACTTTGTATACATTCCAACTTCTTTGTACCAAAACTCAACAAAATAAACTTAGAAGACAAGCTGTGGCTGGGCTCGGTGGCTCGGCCTGTCATCCCAGCATTTTGGGAGGCTGAGGCGAGTGGATTGCCTGAGTCCGCGGGTTCGAGACCCACCTGGGCAACTTGGTGAGACCTACAATAAATCAAAAACTAGCCGGGCGTGGTAGCGCGCACCTGTAGTTCTGGCTACTTGGAAGGCTGAGGCGGAAGGATCGCCGGAGCCCAGGAGGTGAAGGCAGTGGTGGCCGGGAACGTGTCACTGCACTCCAGCCTGGGCGACAGAGTGAGACTCCGACTCAAAAAAAAAAAGAGAGCGAGAAGCCGTGACCTGGAGACTGGTTGCAGGACAAGGTGAATGCACTCCTCACTGTGCCAAGTGTCCTATAGGACACTGCACTACTGAGCCATGCACTTAAAAGTTGTTAAGGGCCAGGCTTGGTGGCTCAGTCTGTCATCCTAGCACTGTGGGAGGCCGAGGTGAGTGGATTACCTGAGCCCACGGATTCGAAACCAGCCCAGGCAACTTGGCGAGACCTCATCTCTACAACAAATAAAAAATGAAGCCGGGCTCGGTGGCTCAGCCTATAATCCCGCGCCTTTGGGAGGCTGAGGTGACTGGATTGCCTGAGCCCGTGGGTTTGAGACCCGCCTGAGCAGGCGAGACCTCATCTCTACAATAAATCAAAAAAATGAGCCGGGCGTGGTAGCGCGCGCCTGTAGTTCCAGCTACTCGGAAGGCTGAGGCGGAAGGATCGCCGGAGCCCAGCAGGTCGAGGCTGCGGTGGCCGGGAGCGGCCAATGCACTCCAGTCTGGGCGACAGTGAGACTCCAACTCACAAAAAAAAAAAAATGAGCTGGGTGTGGTGGTGCATGCCTGTAGTTCCAGCTACTTGGAAGGCTGAGGCGGAAGGATTGCCGGAGCCCAGGAGGTTGAGGTTGGATTGGCCATGAGCATGCCACTGCACTCCATCTTGGGTGATGCAGACACTCCAACTCAAAGCACACACACCAGCACCTGCCATTTCTCTTTGAGGACAAAAAGAACCCTCAGGACAAAATCAGATTCCTGAGTTCGGCCCCGGCCATTCCTTTCAAACCAAGGTCCCCCTATCCCTTGGCCCCAGCGATCCATATCAAAGCCATGTAATGGCAGAGTCACAGCCCCATACAGACGTCCTCACCTGGACAAATCTCAGTCATTGGTTGACTCCAGCCCTGAGGGTACTTGCCCTGCAAAATCCAAATCCCTTCCA